TTATACAAATTGTGATCAAATACAACACATTAATTATATTTGGTTGATATATGTCTTAAGAATTTTTCAGTCTATAGTTTCCCCTCTGAAAGAAAATGTTGTTTTGGGACTAGTATCGCATTTACCCTAACTTGTGCCTGTTTTTTCTTAGGGAAATCCCTTAGGAGTTCAAAAAGCTTCCATTTTTGTTACACCTGATGGGAAATCAGGGAAAGTGAAATGCTGCCTGAATATTTCATTGCATTAAGTCATCGTATTTAATTGTTAATGAGGTATCATTTTTATTATGTTTATGTTTTGGGCAGTTATTGAATTTTTTAAATACATGAAGAATTTATGAGTAAATTGGTATCTAAGATGCATGAAATCAGTAGTGGACTAAGGGGCAAAAGTGTCTGTGATGAAACACACAGGTTTGAAACAAGATTGTCCATGAATTGATAATTATGGAATCTGGGTAATGAGAGTGCAGGGTTTATTATGGAATTGCTCCATGGGGTTTCCTAGGTTATAAACAACAAACATTTATCTCATCAGGAGCCCTAGTGTGGTGCTATCGGATAAGCACTAGACTGCTAACCACAAGGTCAGCAGTTCAAACCTATTAGCCACTCCTTGGAAACCCATCATAGGGTAGCTATAAGTCAGAACTTACTTAAGGGTACTTAACACACACACACAAATCTCTACTGAAGCATTCTGCCCCATCTTTCTAAGTGGCTGGTAGGTTCCAACCAGTTTTCTGTTAGTAGCCCAGTGCTTATACTTGCCATTTTATTACTGGGCCCCTTGCTATTTTATCCACTGGGCCATCAGGGATGCTGAGATCAATGTTGTTGCTGTTGTTAAGTGTCATGGGGTTGGTTCTGACTCCTATCAACCGTGTATAGGATTTCCAAGGCTGCTGATCTTCACAGGAGCAGAAAGCCTCATCTTTCTCCCATGGTGTGACTGGTGGGCTCTAACCACCTACCTGTGCTTATTCTACAGAGCCATCTAAAGCAGAAACTATGCTTCCTAATAACCGAAATCATTTTCAAAGTGGCTGACCATTTTTATAACACATCTGATAGAGTTACAACTGCAATGGATAGATCATTAAAACAGTAAAGGCAATTCATTAAACTGTGGAATTATAGAAGAATAACCACATGCTTCATCAGAGTTCTCATAAATCAAAGTGTGCCTGGGGAACTGTGAGTTGCCGGAATGTAAAATAAGGGTACTTTTTGCAGATCTGGCTAGGTGGTAAACTTCTAGCTTGTGTGTCAAGTTTAGCACCAGTTTAAAAATGTAAATAGGGAATTTTAGGGTCCAGACTTTGAAGCTAAACAACTCCACCTTTATCCTTAGTCCTTGCCTACCACCTTCTTTAAGAATCTATAAAAACTCTGCCTCTTACCGGGCTGGATCTACTAGCACTCCCACAGACTTCAGTAATTGGCTCCCAAGTTACATTAAAAGTGTTTGGAGTTTTAAACAGTAATAAAATAGCAAGTATAAGGAAACACTGGAGATAATCGAGTCTAGGAGCAGCAATACTTTAGAAAACCAAGGGGAAACAGAGATAGATCTTTGGAAAGATGACATTTTCTGTGTTTATTTTTCTTCAAGAACTCTAGTTGCCTTGACAGGCAATCTGCCCTATAACTGCCCCCTTCTGAAGACTCCGAGATATTTACAGAAATGGAAAGCTCTAGCAGTACATTTCCATGAGCTCATCAGCAGTTTCAGTTATACCTTTTATATTTCACACGTACAAATGAATATCCAAGCAGCATAATAAACTTCTGTTTTGAGCTTTTAATTGCAAGCCAAGTAGTAGCTGTAGTAACGACTTGACTACATAACAACAGGGCATCTTTAGTGTCCCTGCTTTGGTCACTATGATTCAAAGCGACTCCAATGCCATTTCTTGCCTGCCTCTTTATGCTAATAGCTTAGGCACTTCGCCCCGCCCTCTTCCAGCTTCTCTTAAGAAGTGTACACTTTCAGCTGTCACAGAGGGTAACTCAGACCAGGCTTAGAAATCACTTGATTTAACTCAGCAGCACTTTCCCCCAGCCCCCCCCCCCCTTTTGGTATTTTTTACTTTAGAAGCCCTCTTGAAATATTTGAGGTACTGGCTTTCATGTCAGCAGCAAGCCTCAAAAATTGTACAAACAGTGATCTCTTAGAAACAGTTACTTGTGTAGGGTTTTTATACTTCAAGGGAGAAGACTTTCAATTTGCTTTAGAATAAAGTAACAGTGAAGTGGTGTTTTTAGCCAAATGAATTGGCATCTTAATCAGCAGAAGTAACATTGGTAAATATTTCTTTCAAGAATCCTGACAAAGAAAAACTAGGATGTTTCTTAGAGAAGTAAATATTTTACATGCCAGGACAGGACCTGTGTGTACCTATGTGGCACTCTTTATCCGGTGAGGGCCATTTTAGGCGACTGGTCAAGGGAAGGAAATTACCTAGTGACACTCAAGCCACAAGACAATCTACCAGCACCATGTCGTCTACTAGGCAAAGACAGGGAAACCTGTTCAGCAGTCTGCGCGTGTGGAAACTGAAGATGCGGGAGGACCAGCGACAGCAAGGTGAGTCAGTCATGATAATGAGTTGTGTGTTCTGTGACCTTCAGTTCCTCTGTATTCCTGGAAGAATGATGCACTGGTGAAGTACTGGCTGTGAAAGGCTTTGCAATTTCCCATTTTTAATCTCTGAGAACAAGCAGGATAGTGATGTCATAAGGTAGGGTTAACCTGGATTCTCGACTGACTTTTAGGAGATTATGGAAGACTATCAAGACCTCACATCTCTTAAAGCTGTCATTTTGAAACTTGTGTATTTCATCTTACAGTCACCATCAGTTTTCTAGAGTACGCTAGATTATATGTGATTTAACATTTCCATCAAGGCAAGACTGAATCAACTGACAGGATATTCAGCAGAAAGCAGTCTCAAATTAACCTAGACCTGTCTCCAGTGTCTTCCCATTAGTGGTAACATTTGGGGGCTGAAAGTTTAAGCCTAATTTTGCCTAGATCTCTGGATCATTCATTTGTGGGTATAATTCCTGGTTCTTTCTCTTTTATGACCCAGGAGCAGCCAGAGACAGACAGAGGGGTGGGAGGGAGTATCACATTTCACACCTTGGGTACTCATTCAGACTTAACTATCTACCTCACAGCCATTTTCAGCTCCAGTGTTGTTGTTTTTAAAAAATTAATCAAACCATCCAGCTGCATCAGCGTTAGATGGGTGACATAAGTAGACAAGCTGATCTGTCCAATCTGCTCTGTCAGGGACAGCAAAAAACACTGCATGGGAAAGGCTTGTGGGTGTTGTTATGAATGGCATCATCAACCTCCAGAGGCTAAGGATTTACCACACAGATATTTTTAACTTCTCATGCCAGGAATGGATCTATCTACCTATAGATCTAGGCTGTTGTTGTTAAGTGCTGTCGAGTCGGTTCTAGCAGCCCTTAATATATGTTTTGTAGAGACAGTTTCAAATTTCATTGGCATGAAAAGGGTTGGCTAAAGGACTGGATGAACCCTCCCATTTTAAAGTGGCACATTTATGTGAGGATCAGGCCTCTCACTGCATCAATTCCTAGAAATATGCAAAGTGACATCATGTTCTATCAGGCTTCATACAGTGTGGGTAGAAAATATTTCATAGTATATAAACACATTGCTAATTTTTAAGACCGTTCTTTACCATTGGGGCTTAAATAAGTTATTTTGAACCAACCTCCTTAGAATGTAAACTCCTGAACTGTTCATCAGTTTAATTGTGACAGTGTGAAAGGCATTTGATCCTCTATTCATAGCTAACACTAATGCATCTTGGGTTTTTTGTTTGCTATTCATTTTTTTTTGAAATTTTTACGGTGACTCCCCACTCCCATCCCTAATTTCTGATATAATGTTTCTTATAGAAAATTTGGTGAAGAGAGCATAAAGGAGATGGTAAAAATTACCCGCAACCTCACCACTCAAAGATAGTTGTGATGAACATTTTAAAAAAAGTAACCTTTTTCTCTAAGCACATATATCCATTATATCCATTATTCTCTTGTTTGATTTGTTGAACAAAAATAAGCATATTTTTGTACGTAGTGTTTTGTAAACTGTTCTTTCATGGTAGATTGTAGACAATTTTCTATGCCATTATATATTTTCTACACTCTTATGTTTAAATGGTTGTATACTATCCCTTCACTTGGATATAACAAAATTCCTTTAGGCAATTCTCCATTGTTATACATTTAGTTTATGCTTAATTTTTTGCTATCATAATAAAAACCTTTATTGGTGAGATTGTACGGGGAGTGGGAGGGTCAAAAGATAATATGTATGTTTTTAAGCCTTTTTTTTTAAATTTTGCAAATGTTCCTTCTATCAGCACTCTGAATAGCAGTGTAGAAATGCATTCTCAGTAAGAATGGATATTACTTTTTTTTTTTTAATCTTTGCCAATTTTATAAGTGGAAAATGGTATCCTCCTGTTGTTTTAACTTAAAGCAGGCTGTCATTCTGGTCTCTGTCTTATGGGTCATAACCAGAGCAACCTGGAAATATCATTATGATGACATACTTCCCAAAATACTAACAAGACTAGAAGTCTTGTCTCCTTTCTCAGACTGAAAGAAATCATATCCTTCCACAGCTGTGTCTCAAAGCATCTGCCCACATAAACCACATAGACCTTTGAAGCACACTAATGCAGTGCAGACTGTCCATTGGTTGCTGCAAGATATGTCATCCGGAGATTTGAGTTGACTGGGTAAATGCTGGCTATGCTGCTCAATAGCGTTCCAATGACTGTCTGGAGGTTAAAAGTAATCATTCAGTGCTCTTCTTGTTGTTAACTGTCATTTGAGTCAAGTCAGCCTCAGAACAAGCCCACAAGTGAACAATAGAAGTGCTCTGAAGGGCTTTCAAGGCTGTGTGCTTTTGGAAGTGGATGGCCAGGCCTGTAGACTGAGGCAACTCTAGGTAGGTTTAGAATCCGAACTTTTTAGCTAGCAATTGAGAGTGTTTAACAATTTGTGCCAGCCAGAGTCTTCTCACTCAGTGCGGTGTCTCTGATTTTTCTTTCAAGCTATACTTGCACCTTGCAATTGCATAAAGTTCAGCAAATGCCCAAGGAAGCAAAACATTCATTTCAGCGAGTGAAGTGTGGCTGTGGATTTATTCACCAGTGCACTCTGAGTTTTTGGCTTTGGTTCTAGCTCTCTTAGTTAACATACAGGCTGTAATTAAGTGGCATGCACTCCTCTGAAAGCATGACCAGATCAGATACCAGAGTTCCTAACTCTCCTTGCTATTACTGAAGTGCTTTGTATTAACTCTGAGGTATTTGATTCTTCTCACATAGTCACACAATTATTATTTTTAGGCAATCATATATTCTTGTTAAGTGCTATTGAGTCAGGTACAACTCATAGTGACCCAGTATAGGGTTTCCAAGGAGCAGCCGGTGGGTTTGAACTGCTGACCCTACAGTGCCACACCAGAACTCCAGGTAATCACACAGATAGAGATTACTTATTCTTCAGCAGATATCTGGGCAGTGACTATGTGTAAAGTACTGTGCAAATGCCTACCAAGTTGCCCGCTAAGCCATGGTTTCCTGTCCACATGGAGTTTATAGTCTATGGCTATGTACATATTATAAAGTTGAAGAGTAGACGTTCAGGATGCTTCTCTTGCCTCTTCTGTGATATTATAAATCCATTTAACACTGTGGCATTGGTATAGTGACAACATTTGTAAACATTACCTTGTATGTCTATAAATCTTCAGCAGGTACTAGTCACAACTTAACCATCCAAAATAACTTTACAAAATAATTTCAAACACATTCTCTCAGTTGGTTCTCCCAGCCATCAAGTAGAATAGCCATGACTCTCCCCATTTTAAGAGATGTGGAAACGGGAAGTTTCAAATTTAAGTGACTTTTCCAAGGTTACACATTTATTAAGGAATAGTTCCAATGCACTTCTTGCTACATATAGCTCTCTCATACATCTCACAATTTTTAATTTCCCATAGATCCATGGAAAGTTCTATCTGGAGAACTTGCTCTTCAGATACCAAGGATGCCTTGAGGTTCCTTCTAATTGACTTTGTCAGTGGTTTTCTAGATATGCTTAGTTCTTGAGGTCAGAAAGTTTCTCAGAAGCCAACAAAACAGACTAATGCCATCAACCAGCCTTTCATTTAACACATTTTTACGAAATAGTCACTGCTTACTGGGTGTTATATAAGCAACTCATAATACAAACATGATTTTCTCATAAGATTGTTGCCTAACCTGTGCTTTCTGAGTGACTCAGTAAGAACGACTAGAGTAGCTAATGATACTTTTTATTTTTCAATTATTTGGGTGGAAGAAAATTGAATACATTGATTGAATAGTGCATTTTCTTTTCTGACTTTACTGCTTTCTTTATCCTTATTCATATTTTGCTCACATTCCTCTTGACGGTTTTGGTTGGTACTAAACATAGTTGATAACTTTGTAAATGTAAACAAAAGGCTAAGTACTACCTATTTCCATGTCATCAATTTTGCTAAGAATCTAAACCAGAAAGCACACATTACATTTTGATTGTTATAAATGTACTATTTCTCTTAAATATTTTTTTGTGGCTATTCATGGGTATATTTAATTTAAAACACCTACAAAATTGCATTGCTAGGGAATGAAGACCTTACCATGAAAAATGGAATCAAGTATCTATTGTACGATTAATAATGCCAATGGTGAGGCCAGAATGGCCAAACTTCGTCTCTCATACTTCGGACACATTGTCAGGAAGGACCAGTCACTAGAAAAGGATATAAAAGAGGCAGAACCCCAGTGAGATGGATTGGAAAAATGGCAGCATCAATGGGCTCAAGCGTAGCAACAATTGTGAGGTTGGCTCAGGACTGGGCAGTGTTTCATTCTGTTGTGCATAGGGTCACTATGAGTTGGTACCAATTCAATGGCACCTAACAACAACAATGGTGAAGCACTGTAAGGTAAGCATTGGACCACAAGGTCAATTTTAACCACAAGATTGGTGGTTCAAACTCACCAGCCACTCCTCAGAAACCCTATACTGGGTCTCTATGAGTGGGAATTAATTCAATGGCACTTAACCACAACAACATATAAAATGGAGTCCTAGTGTGGTGCTGTAGGATAAGCATTGAACTGCTAATTGCAAGTTCAACAGTTCAAACTCACCAACCACTTTCAGAAACCCTATACAGGCTCATTGAGTCTGAACCAACTTGATGGCACTGAACAACAACAACATTATATAAAACCAAAAATCATCGATATGACTGTCATACTGTGGTGAGTTATATGTTGCTATGATGCCGGAACCTATGCTACCGATGTTTCAAATGCCAGTAGGCTCACCAATAAAGGACATGTTTCAGCAGAGCTTCCAGACTAAGAAAGTCTAATAAATAGGAATAGTGATTCACTTCTGAGGGATTAGCTACTGAAAATCATATGAGTATCAAGGAATATATCTGATATAGGGTTGGAAGATGGGCCCCTCTGGTAGGAAAGCACTCAAAATATG